TAATTTGAAATTCTTTGCCAAACTCAAAAAAAGATTCCCACTTTCATGTCAAATAAGTTGAGTGTTATTCGAGTGAATTCGCAAATGCAGCTCTACTTTTGACTTTTTAGTCACTTAACTAAATTCCTTGTATTCGTGTTTGTACAGAAGGCTTAGCCAAAAATCTTTCCAACCTGTGCTTCTGTTTAGTTTTTAGCGTATTTTTTGGGTTGTGTCAAAAATATCGCTATGTTCTGAGTATAAATAAATCTTTTTCTTATATTTCCTTTTTTTTTTATTTGTTTTGCAAGTGTTTTTTCACCTCTTTTCTACCTTTTTTCTAAACAAATTTTGCCAGACTCGTTGAGGTTTTGTAAACTCTGTAACTGAATGGACCGAGTTTTATAGGAGTGCATGGCAAGTGGACAAGCGAAAGGGCGGCGGAAAGCTGTCTGAGCGGATGTCCCCGCTTGCTGTGTGCTTTATTTACCACACACTCTGAGCAATGTGTGTGTGTGTTTGTGGCACATGTGGCAATAAAATGAAAATGTCATAAAATATGAACGAGTTGACTTTTGTTGTAAATGAACGGCAATACCGAGACGACCGACCGAACACGGGCACTAGAAAAAAGAAGCTGGTGGAAGGAAAAACTCTAAAAAGCCAGCGCATTTGAGTAGAAGGCAACGACTGTGTAGTACTTTGGCGGCTTCTGGCAAAGGCTGTGTCGCATAGAATTTTGAGATGAATTTTGATGGCACTTTTTTGGCTTATTTTGAATTTCTAATGCAGAAAAACACGTCGAAAGCATTGAACTAGGTGCCTGCAAAGCACATGAGAGTGTCGGCTAGCTGGCGGTTAGTAGTTGCAAATGTGAATATTCGCACATATTACGGCATATTGAGTGTAAGTGTCTACGACCAGCACTTAAGTCGAATTTATAAGCCTCATTGGGTTGTGCGAAATGTCACAGTTGGCAACTTTCATAAATTTTCCCAATAAATATGCAAGAATTAAATTTTTACAATTGTAAGAAAGCTGGAAGGTAAATTTTCACGCGACCGCATTTCCACCGCAAGCGCAGAGCCAAGAGCAACCTTCACCCATAAATTCTAATTAACAAGAACACACTTACAAACACTTGATTGCGGGCCATACACAAACACGCACGCACTCATTTACACAAACACAAATACACACTCACACTTGAATTTCAAAGAGCAACGCCAAAGAGAAATGCTATTCATAAATTAAGTGCCAAAACAAGCAAGGCAGCCAGTTATAACAACAACAACGACAACAACATCAGCAGCAAACTTGCAACTGGCATAAAAATGTTGGTTGTAGCACAGAACTCAACGTGCCACATGGTTACACGGCGGCGGCGAATGCGGCCATGAACTCGAAGCGCGGCGCGGCAAGTGCACACAAGTGCCGCAGCAGCCGCAGCAAGAAAATAACAAAGCGCTATGAGTGCGCCTAGCTTTTGTGCACAGCAAGAAACTGTGGAAAAGAGGGGCGCAGGTGCGGGGCAATGCCCGAAAAGGGCAGGCAAACATGTGTAAGTCGAGAAAACGTGAAAACCGCTCATCAGGCAGCTGCAAAGAAGAGCCCTCCTGTTTTTAGCTGTGTGGCGTTCAACCATAAACCATAAACCAACGAGCCAGGTCGCTGTAGGACATACGCACACGCATACTTATATACTGCAACGGTGTGAGGCGCCGATGGCCATGGCCGTGGCAGTGACAGCGGCCGCAAGCCAAATAAACAAAAAACGAAGCAAGCAAGCAACCCCAAACTTAAGCTTAAGCATAACGGAATCCCTGCAACAGGACAACGACTGGGGCATTACTGGATCCGCGTGCAGACAGTGGCGATATAAAAGGGCAGCGCGGGTTTCAAGCGTGTGCTGGCGCGAAATGCGCGCGACTTGTTACTAGCAAAATGCAGCTTGCGCGCGAAAGGAGAAAATAGAAACCTTACCCCACTTGGGTGGCACACATTGCGCGCCTTTAATGCCCAGCTCAATGGCTCATTCACTCACTACCCTAGTCAGCAGCGTGCACCCAGGCGCTAACATGCCTGCCAGTTAGCTTCCTTCGGCGCGCACCGTACGCTCTCAGCCACTCACCCACATTAGTCGCTTCAGTGCGCGGGCAATATATCTGCAACTGTTTTATTTTAAATATTTGTAGCGTATCAACGCAATTAGTGCAGTGGAAATTTGGTGCGCATTAAAGGGGCTTAGCCGCTAGACACTACTCGAAGGGTGCTCTCTGAAATTGGCACTAATAAATTGCCAACAATTTTGTCTAGGGAGTTTCGAGATAAAAACGCAATTTAAAAGAAGTAAAAATAACAAAGTTAAGTCAAGTGGTGTTATAATAACTAGTTGTGTAACTAGTTGTAAAAGTAAAAATTGTAAATTTATTGGTTAATAATATGATTGAATRCTTGCATTCAAAAGTATGCAAAAATTAAAATTTTTTATCCAACTAGTGACCAAACTAGTTTGAATGTAACCAACCCCGTCACTAGTCGGTAAGTATGTAACCACACGCGTCATAGAGCAAAAATGCATGCTGCAGAGAAAAATTCTTCAATTCAACTGTTTGAATTTCTTTCAGGGCACGGCGTTACGCCTGAGCCACCACCACAGCTCGGAGAGCTTCTCAGCGCATTCCGTGCATCTTTACTGTTAACGCGATTTTATTTATTTATCATTTCTTTTTGAGTTGTCTTGTTTTGAAAATCTTTTTAAAAGCATTAAAAGCATTTTGTTCAGCATTTTATTTAAACGCCAATTTCATCGGACACTCGTGTGCATTCCGCTTACGTTCGAGTAGCGCGCTAAGTGCTGCCAGCCGCGCTAACTGTGCGGTGCCGCTGCCTAAATCGCTTAGCTGAATGAATTGCCGCTAAGTTGCCTGGCTCTTTGTAGAAGTTTATAATATATATGTGTGAGGTTTATAGTTGCGGGTGTGTTGGCTGGCGCGCTGGTTGCGGCTGACTGCCACAGCATWTTTATGAATGAATGAAATAATAATGTGGTGTCGCTGGCAAATTACGAAATATGTGTTTGTTTTGCACGAGCAGGTACTTTTTTCTTGCTTTTACAAATTATTATTTCACATTTCTTCCCTTTGGCATAACAGCGTTATCTCGTTTGGCTGTGTATGCTTGTGGTTTCCCTTTAGATTTTGCGGTTTTTTTTCGGTTCTGTTAACGCATAAAGGGATGCACCAGATATCTGCATTAGTATGCGTGACTAAAATTATTCTGCGAAATTCGTAAATTTTGCCAACTGGGATTTGTGAGCAACGTTGAGACATGTTATCAAATGAGATATGGTTTTAATAAGAAATTAAGTGCTCTTAATGAGGAATTCACCTTGGAGTGTTTTTTAAAATTTTTTGAACCGTAAATATTATTGTTGGAGAATTATTTAATTCTTAAGAATTTGTAAAATTCGGTAAAAATTAGCTAAAAATGTAAATGTTATTTGCAGAAAAAAGTGCATTGGTATTTAACATATTATATT